GCAGGTAAGTGTTAATTTTGAATATATATATTAATTTTGAACTTTTTTTTATATTTAGGTAAAAAAATTTTAAAAGAAATAAAATTTTTCATTATCTATGCGACCACCTACATCCAAGAGGAAAATTTCCAAAAAATAGAGCGAGTCCTTAAAAGCCGCTGGAGTCCTTAACAGCCGAGTCCTTCAAAACTTATATAACACTTTTGATTAACTGAAGAACATTTTTAAATAAATCAGCGTAAATTATTAAACAATAGACCGTAATGAATTTGAATTTAGATGGTTATTTTGATGCTATATTTAAAACTGTCTTTTGGTAGCACACAGCTATTTAAAAATACCTTTTGGTACCACATGCTTGTGGTACCGGAGATTTAGTAATTTTGTATTGATGCCTCAGGTCCTTGATGCTAATTTAGCTAGATTAATATGTATTTTTGTGTCCTTTGTCCCTAGCGATTTAATATGCCTTAGAAAATTAGTGTGGTGGTCAGAGACGACACCTAAGTATTTAATTGAATTTTCTGATTTAATTAATTGATTATTAATGCGGACTATGGGGGGCGTTGCTTAAATGGGTTCTTAAAAGTCAAAAAGTTACATTTGTTTATCGATAGATTTAAGGTGATATTTGGAGCAAAAGTCGTTAAGGAAAGTCAAGGCTTCGTTAGCATTAGCTTCTAGCTCTTTACCCGCTTTACCTGTTATTATGAACTCATAGTCGTCAACAAAGGCTATTCGCGATCGCAACGCTCGAGAACGCCCTCTAGCGGGAGCCTGCAAATATCGGACATTAATTTATCACGTTTTCATTCAGTTCCACCAGAATCACAGGCAGATTCGGTCGCCATTTTCTTTGCACGAAATAAGAAGCAAAATTTCCCTAAGGAAAAAGCCGAAAAACTTGAAAAAACTCTCCAGAACATTGTTAAATCTTTCAGAAACAGAACACGCCAAACATTTGAAGAAAATTCCTCAATAATTTTCAACTTCTATTATCAACAAACTTGCAACTGATAACTTCCGATTTCGCTATGGCATACTGTTACAGATGTGTGTTTCAAGGTAAAATGCATTTCTTCTGTCTTCAATTCATTACAAATTAAACTGAAGTCAACATTGCTTTCGTCATTCCAATAAATAAATATGAATTCAGAACGTCAAGAACAGCAATTGTTATAGAATATTCTTCTTTGTTACAGAACGGTATATATTTCTGTATCTATATAATTCGGAAAACAACAATAAAGAATCATCCAAATTACTTGAAATAGTGCTGATGATTAATAAATTTTTTATCGTTTTCTTGGTAAGTATTTTTTGTTTTGAAAGAATAGATAATTTCAACTAGAATTCAGCTGTTCTGTTTTTAAGATACATTCAAATTCATATCGAGATCTTACAATTATAAAATTTTGATGTGTGGTATGTTATCTAAAAGTAATAAAGGGATAATCTATGTACATATTATTTGAAAATAAAACTTTCAAACGAAGAACATTTCATTTGGAATTCTGCGGATTTATAAAGAAGGTAAGTGTCATGATTTTTATAAAAAAAAATTAGCTTGTACATTTTTTTTTCTTCTTATTTGATGATAGTTCTCTACAGAATGCTTTTTTACGTCTGATTAAGAACTATAAGAATGAAAAGAGAAACAATATGGAAGTTTTTTATTTCAATATGAGGAATTTTTAAAATCGTTTTTTTTTATCCTAAGAATTCTTTATTTTACGCTATTTAGTTTATAATTTTTTGATAAAAATTGTTGTTAAAATAATTGTTTTGAAAAATTAAATGGTATAAAATTATGTGCTAATGTATACTTCTTGCATATTCTAATGTTTGAAGTAATATGATTCAAAAAAGTATGGAATAACAATTCGGTACTTACGTAATAACGCCACTACAACTACAACTACAGATTTGGCGGTTTTTAAGTACGTATTAAGTATTTAAAATTAAAGTAGTTTATTGGATTTCGGTGGACAAAATGGGCAAAATATTTCGCACCTGAAAAAATAAAATTGCATCTTGTTCTATTTTTGGCAAATCCCAAAGACGCATTTTCGTAGGACTAAAAAATGGTAATAAAAATCGAAGAACAAATTATTTTGGAATTTGGAATAAAGCAGGTAAGTGTTAATTTTGATAGAATAAAAAATTTTACTTTTAAGTAATTTTTTTCTTATTTGATGATAGTTTTCTATAGAATGGTTTTCTGCGTCCGATTATGAATCAAAAAAGAAAAAACGTGAAAGTTGTTTGTTTTAATGTAAGGAATTTTTAGAATTGGGTCTTTCTTTTTTGCTTTCTATCGAAAGAATTCTTTATTTTACCTTTTTTAGTTTCCAAATAATGATTTTTATTGAAACTTGAAATTTTTTAATAAAGATTGTTGTCAGAAAACCTTTTTTACTAAATTAAATTTAATAAAATTATGAGGCTTATGTATACTTTTTGTTCATTTTAATTTTTGAAGTAATATGATTCTTAAAACTATGGAATGTAAAGTTTAAATAGGCCTTTCATGTTATATCATTAAATATAGTAAAACTATTTTTCGGGCATTAGGTTTTAACTCTTAAAAGAATATACATATTTTTTTCTGTTTATTTGCAAATATTTTTCCGATGTGTTTTGTATATTCCTTCTCTAAAAAAAAAAGATACCATTTTGTTTTCGTTTGCATAAGAAAGCATACTAAACATTTTTCGTTTTTAAATTTAATTAGACACGATAAAAAAGGAACGTTGTAATGGTACACGCTACATTAAAGACGACTCTAGAGTAAATGAATGACTGTTCATATAGAAATCGCAGGTATTAGTCTCATACAACAACGCCCCCTATAGTTCGTTGCGATCGTGAATTGTTGTTTCGTTGTCGTGTTTAAAATCCTGCAAGAAAATGACCGCGATAATTACCCACAGGAGTGGGCCTAAGCATGAACAAGCTGTGGACAGCCCTATTACGTGTTCAATTTAGTTATTCCTAGACCGACGTCGAATTCTATTGATCTGTTTGTGAGGTAACTGTTAATTAGATTAATTAGTTGTTTAGAACCGTCTAATTCGATTAATCTATTGATAATTTGGTCCCAGTGAATTGAGTCGAAGGCTGCCTTAATGTCTGACGAGATCAACGTTTCGTATAATTTATTTTTGCAATTTTTATTCTTTTTTGCTGTTAGCGACTAATTTATAACTATTTTTAGTGCTGATTCTGTCGATCTGATTTCTCGGAAGCCGAATTGGTAGTTACTTAGATTGTTATTGATTTCTAAATTATGGGTTAGTCGTTGTTGAATAATTTTTTCTAGTAATTTGCCTAGTGTTGGTAGTAGGCATACCGGTCGGTACACGTCTGGTTGAGTAGGTTCTTTGAAAGGTTTGGCAAAGTACACCACGGTGGCTGATTTGAGGTTATTTGGAAGGTGATTTAAAGTTAGACATTTATTGATCCATTTGATTAGTATGATACGATCGCCATCGAATACGCGCCTCCAAATCATAAAATTTAGGCCGTCTGGAATTGAATTGAATTGAATGCGGGGTTTAGTGGCACAAGGTCCAAAAAAGGACATACTGAGTCAAACACACGGTTTTAAAAACAGAAAGGTTAAGTAAACCACACGTATAAAATCAGATAAGATAATGAAAATTCTAAAACAATGTTGTAAAGTTACGTACATTAAAATCAATAAAACTGCATGGTAGATTTACTAAAACACTAAATAGTATAAAACAATTATATACAACTTAAAATTCCAATAGTGCGCAAGAATGCAAGAATGTTAGGATGGTGATTTTTATCTAACAAGTCTTTTATATATAAAATAGTGCTTTCAAAAAAGGGAAGGCGTTGTTGGTTAAAACATGGGCAAGCGATTAAAATATGATGAATTTAAAGTGAAACGTTACAAGTATCGCATCGAGGAGGCAGTTCTCCGAACAGCAAGTGAAGATGAGTCAGCCGAGTATGTCCTATACGTAGACGGGTGAGCTTGACATCTGCTCCGCGCAATTGCAACACAGGCCAAGGCTCTAGCGCGGATTTAATTGTGTGCAGTTTGTTTTCAATTTGTAAATCCCAGTGTTGCTACCACAAAGATATAGTAAACTGCCGTATATAATTCTTCATGTCTGAAATGGGGACTGATAGTGTTAATGGAGTCGTAGCAGATCGGGCAGCAGAGTCACCCATGTCATTACCTGAAATACCAACATGACTGGGAATCCAACAAAATAAAATCCTTAAACCACTTTTGTGAAGACTAACTAACAGATGTTTAATGATACATAAAATAGGGTGAGTTTCGTTGTTTACATGATTATTCAGCTGACGTAAAACACTTAGGCTGTCAGAGTAAATGCAAAACTTTCGTGCGGTTAGTGATGAGATAAGTCGTAGAGCTATTAGAATGGCCACAGCTTCGGCAGTAAATACAGAGCATATGGCAGGTATGATATAACTGTATGTTCGATCAGCTATAATGATTCCATATCCAACATGCCCTGGAGATTTTGACCCATCCGTAAAAACGGAAACATACTGAGAATACTCATGACGATGAGACATAAATAGCTGAATATACACGCTAGGAGATATACTGGATTTTCTGTATGAAGCAAATGGAGAATAAAAGTGATATGACGGAATAATCCAATTTTTGTTAAGAAAGTGATCGGTTGATTGAGATGGTGATTCGCAAACATTGAATGCCTGAATAACTGTATGCATACTAGCATTAAAAGGAGGTGTGTATGAGGGTCATGCATCATATAATCGTCGTAAGCTTAGTGGAATAACCTCATGTCGAAGAGGATGAGATTTAGATGACATAACACGAAAGTAAAATGTAAGACAGAGCTGCATACGTCAAAAATAGAGAGATGACAAATTACATATACTATATAAACTTTCGACTGGGGACGTTCGAAATGCGCCGCTACAGATTCGCAATGCAGTACGATGGACTGTATCTAATAGCTTCAAATTTGACGCAGTTGCAGAGCCATAGACTGCGCAAGCATAATCAATGCGTGATAATATTAACGCTTTGTAGATTCTGATTAGGGCGATGCGATTCCCATCCCAGAAAGTATTTGAGAGAACACGTAGGACATTTAAAGTTTTTTCACGACGTTTTCTAAGATAACGAATATGGGGTAGGAAAGTGAGTTTGCTGTCAAAATTTACGCCTAAATATTTCGTCTCCGACACAATAGGTATATTAACGTTATGAATGGAAATAACAGGATCATTGTGTAATCTGCGCAATCGACAAAAATGCATGCAAGAGCTTTTTGTGGGTGAAAGTGTATGACCATTTTGTTCACACCATTTTGAAATCTTATTGACGGCAAGCTGAAGTTGACGCTCAATAACGCGCATATCAGAGCCAGAACATGAAACATTTAGGTCGCCAACATTAAGTGAGCCAAATACATGAAGTGGTAGTATGTTCAAAATGAGTGAAACATGAGTAATAAAAAGTATGATACTTAAAACACTGCCTTCAGAAACACCTTCGGCCTTAATGAAGAGGTCTGAAAACGTAGAACCCAATTTTACCCGAAAATGCCGTTTCTTCAGGAAGATGGGTAAATTACCACGAAGTCCCATATCGTAGAGTGTCTTAAGAATTCCGTATCGCCATGTCCGATCGTAAGCCTTCTCAATATCAAAGAAGATAGAGACAAAATGGTTACGTCGGACAAAGGCGTTACGAATTCGTGACTCTAAAGCAATAAGGTTATCAGTAGTAGTTCCTTTTCGAAAACCACTCTGGAACTCAGGTATATGATGGTTCTTTTCTAGGAAATATACTATGCGGGTATTAACCATGCGCTCAAAGGTCTTTCCCAGACAGGTTGTTAAAGCTATAGGGCGATAGCTTTCCGGGTCCTCAGGATCCTTGCCTGGTTTCAATATGGGGATGACAATTGCCTCACGCCAACATAATGGATAAGTCTGTTCCGTCCGTAGTCTATTAAATAGAACCAGGACGTTACCCAAAGACGTAATATCCAAATAGCGGAGCATTTGGTAAGTTATCCCATCGAGACCAGGGCTTGTGTTCGCAGCTGTTGATAAGGCCTTTTGTAGTTCCAGAAATGAAAAATTGCCATTGTATGAAGATGATCGACGAGTGTGAAAATTGATATTATGACGTTCAGCGTTGCGTTTATGGTTTTGGAAAACCGGGCTGTAACTCTCTGTACTAGAGATGGCGGCGAATGTCTCACCAAGCATGTTACATACATCAATGGGAGCAGAGTAGACTGTATCGTTCTTTTCTAATATAGGAAAATGAAATTCGCGGTATATGCCGTTTGCCTTTTTACTCTCGACTAAACTTGTTTGGGAGATGTCATTGATGATATAGATGAGACATTATAGTGCTTCCATGATTCTTTTTGGCTACGGCGTCGGACCTTACGAGCAAACGCTTTAGCTCGTTTAAATGCTACAAGATTTGATGTGGAAGGAGAACGACGAAAGAGGCTCCAAAGTCGTTTCTGTTCCTTTTAAGCGGTAGAACACTCTGAATTCCACCAAGGCTTACGATGGTGAGGAGGAGTAGTTGAAGACTTTGGAATACTCTCTTCTGCAGCATTTATTATTACAGAAGTTACAGTATTCACTGCGGCATTTACGTTGTTACCTGTTACCATAGCATCAGTAATCTGAACAAGTTGAGTAAGTATGTGCCAATTAGCGCATGATGTATGAAAACTGATGGTTTAGGACTCATGGGAACATTAATAGAATATGAAATTATGAGTGGAAAATGATCACTATTGTGAAGATCATTACTCACAGAAAAGTTTATGAAGGGCAAGAGAGCTGGTGAACATAATGCTAAATCGATGGAGTGAAAGGTATGAGTCGGCATATGAAAGTAAGTCTCTTCGCCTTGGTTTAACAAACATAGATTATGTTCCTGTATAAGTTGCTCTATTTCACGTCCCCGATCATTGGAGACAATCCCACAATTCACTATGACCATTAAAATCCCCGAGCAAAATAAAAGGTGAAGGTAATTGCATAATCAATGAATTTAGTTCTGTTTGAGAAACAGGTGTATTAGGAGGTAGATAAATTGAGCAAACAGTGAAGAGTACATTAATGTGAATTTGAACAACAGTTGCTTGTAATAAAGTTGATAAGAAATAATGAGTAGATGGTAATGCATTGCAGGTTAAAATTGCAACGCTGCCATGAGGATGACTTCCATCATGAAGATCATGTCGGATGCAAGAGTAATTATGAAATTTAAAATTATGACATGACGTTAAATGAGTTTCCTGCAGAGCGAAACATGCAGGCTGATATTTATAGATAATATCCTTGATATCTGAAAGTTTATTTCTTATGCCACTACAATTCCAGGATATAAAATTAATAGACATTATGGAATGGATTGATATTTTTATAATTTAACGTCAAGTATTTTAAGATGAGTCAAGTATGAATTAATCGTCGGAAGGGTGAAGGGACAATTCGACGTCAAGATCCATCTTCTTCGGAGCACCAGAAGTGGATTGGTTGACGTACTGATTATACTTAGGATCTTTTTTCTTCCGAGTTATGCCAGGTTTTTTACTTAGGGGTATTTTTGTTGATACGAGCTGCTTGGGGAAAGGTGAGGTTTTTTCTGAGTATTTTTAGGAGGAGGAGATGTTGTTCTGTTTGATGGTGCATTAAAGTTAAATTTCGATTTCTGAGCTGCATTTTCAACTTGATGAGATGTAGAAGGCAAAGGTGGAAGGTCTGTTTGAGTACTGACAGAGCATCTGGTTACCTTTATAGCCGCAGAATAGGACACGCCTGGGTGTGGGGTTCGAGCGGTTACTATTCGGCGTGCCTCATTGAAAGTCAGATTCTGTAAAACTTTGACGGACTGAATCTCTTTTTCCTGTGAACATTTTGTACAATTCCTGGAGTAGGCCGCATGGTCACCATTGCAGTTGACGCAGTGGGGCTGTAACTCACAGGTTGTATCAGCATGGTCACTGCTAGAGCAGCGGGCACAGATGGGCTTGCTTCGACAAGATGCCTTTGAATGTCCAAACCTTTGACATTGGAAGCATCTCAAAGGATTTGGCACATATGGTCTAACCGGGCAGTTATACCAGGCAAGCTTGATGGCAGATGGTAAGTTTGGAGTAGCAAAGGTAAGAATGAGATGTTTTGTCGGGATAAGTTGACCATCTCGACGAATCTTTATTCTTCGAACAGCAATAACGTGTTGGTCACGCAATTCCTCTACAATATTTTCTTCGGTATCATTGATAAATTCGGACTGTGATATAACGCCTCGTGACGTGTTTAAAGTTTTATGAGGAGTAACATTAACAGAGAACGAGCATATGTTTGTTCAAGTAGACAGAGTAGTAGCTTGTTTTTCGGAAGAGACTTGAACTAACAAGTCACCTGAACGTAATTTTTTAACTGAGGCTACTTCTCCTAGAAGAGAAAGAAGAGCCTTATGTATCAAAAATGGAGAAACTCTGCTAAATGACGTATTAGGTACTGTGGGATTTGTCAAAGCTATCAAGAAATACTGAGCGTGATCAAATGGTACTAAAGGTGTTCCGCTGTTTTTGTATTGGTGTGTGGAACTGACCACCACTTCATTTTCAGCCATAGAAAATTAAATCAAATTTCAGCTACCAGCTGCACCACCCACCACGGAGTCCAACTAAGGGGATGCAAATAACAAATTAGTGCTGCCACAAATCCGCTATTTGACACCGATGCTAACCAATAGTTATACGCCCGAAAGTCACCACTGAAGCAGCCTCCACCCTTAACGAGTTGCCCAGTAAGTGACCTCGAGCTTGACCTTAGCCAACAGATGACGTTTGTGAATAGCCGATTGGTGCACACAGGCCAATGTGCACCTCCCGTTTACCTGAAGCACGGACCTAACCAGTGTATTGGGGTACCAAAATGCCCCTCAACTGCCAGGATCCCCTTTTCCAGGGACACGGGTCTCCACGCACGGCAAACACGCGGGTGGTCTCTTCCCACCTGGGTCCGATACTACAGGGTGGTAATCGAACACAGATAAAAAGCCCTTACCAGTAAATTCGGCAACCACGATAAGGGGGAAGAGAAAGAAGAAAGTAGGAGAAAAGGGAAAGGAAAACGAAGGGCGGAAAGATCACTAGGGTACCCCGGGGCGTGACTCCCTGTGTTCACCTAAAGAAGGTAAACCCCCTCAGGGGTTAGCCCGTCTGGACCTGGTGCTTTGGTGGTTAGGAAAGTGAAGAGAGTATCTGTTGTCTCCTTGCGTACCGACAGAACAGTAAGATGTCTTAGCTGCCGTGGAATCACCCGAACGTAATTTTTTAACTGAGGCTATTCCTCCTAGAAGAGAAAGAAGAGCCTTATGTATCAAAAATGGAGACTCCTTGCGGAATGACGTATTAGGTACTGCGGGATTTGTCAGAGTCATCAAGAAATACCGAGCGTGTTCAAATGGTGCTAAAGTTGTTCCGCTGTTTTTGCTAAGGTGTGCAAAATTCAACCCCTCGCAGCATTTTCTGCCATAGAAATTTTTTTACACTTCGAATTCCAGCGGCACCACCCACCAACTAATTGATAATTGAATGTAGAGTCTAATGACACAAGATCCAAAAGAGGATATGCTGTGCCGAACAATACGTTAATGAAGCTTAAAATGTAATAATGCAATCTTATTTTTATGAAATACATAAAGGCTACGTACAATATAAAATACCAATAGCTCGCAGAAAAGCGAAAATTTTATGATGATAGTTTTCACCTAACAAATCCTTCATATTCATTGGGAGGAGGCACTCCAAACAACAGATGAAGATAGGTGATTTGAGTTTGGCCGATTCGGAGAGGAGTAAACTTTACATCTGCATTACGTAGATGCAATACAACAGAGTCCAACTAAGGGAATGCTAGTAACAGATTGGTTCTGATACCAATGCGTTACTCTTACTGTACTTTTGAATTTCTGTTTTCAGCGAAAAAAATATTTTTAATCTATAAAACTTTCTACCATATCAAAATATTTCTAATTATATCTATTTTTATCATCTAAAACTCGGAATTCAACTTGAACTTGCTCATACATCGTAGTAGCTTTATACGTCGTATGTTTAGGCGAGACTTTTGTATGCTTTACGTGCCATCAAATCTTTTCTAAGAAAAAATAGCAAATGGAGGAGGAAAACGAATAACAACGTGTAATATAACATAAATTAACGAGTGAAATAGGAACTATATAAATATCAATTTATTTTCTATACATTTCATCAAATTGTAATAGAATCAAACATTTATATTAAAATTTTATATTAAGATTTTTATTTACATTCAATAAAATTTGTAGTAAAATAATATTTAACTTATAAAATCATATTATTTCATCATCTTTTTCGTTTATAAAATCATAGCGGCATCTTTTGCAAAATTCACTCTTCGGCATTCTAGTACACATTGGTCTGCATCAAGAATTCCTTGAAAAAATAAGGTAAAACTAAGATTGCATAGAATTGAGGAGAATAATTACAAATTAGATATTTTCATTGTTATTTCGTAATACATTAATTTAATAAAACCAAGAAGCAACAGCAATCTGTCTAAACAGAGTGGGAAGATTTGCGCATATGGGCAGGTAAGGCTTCATAATAAGAACGACAATTAAATTGTTAGTTAAAATAATTGCATAATAGGCAAACAAGGTTTTTGTGAACAAATATCATAATAATAAATTGAACTTGATTGAATATAGGATTTAATGGCACAAAGTCCAAAGGAGAACATGCTGCGCCAACAATATCACTAATAGAAGAGAAAATTTCAAGTTATAAATCAAAGAATCAGGAAATTTAAATAATTTTAAAGGAACTAAAAAAAGTAATAATTATAGAAAAAATAAGCTTCTATAATATTGTTGTAAAATTTAAGTTTCTTTCATAATACAAAATTGCTTAAAAATATTTCATACTTCATTCTCCTAATTTGGCTGGAGTGATTTGACGACTTTTTATTTAAACCTGACTAAGGATGAAAAATAAAGTTGATGAACACAGTATTAACCGAGGTTCATAGCATGTGAGAAATCTTTTTATTTTAAATTATTTTACACTTCTGATATTCGATAAAAATTCAGAGAAAGAACACTTGATTCGGAGTAACAGATTAAAATAGCTATGTTTTACCCTCACAGCTAGAATTGAATTAGCTTGTTTATTGATTGAATGTAGAGTTTAGTGGCACAAGGTTCAAATTAGGACATGCTGCGCCAAACAATATGGTGAAACAGTTCGAAAGTCTAAGTGCATGCAAATGCTAGTTGCAACTCAATTAAAACTTATAAAACAGTACTAAGTGAATAAAACAAGAGAAATTTTATGATTAAAATCAGATAAAAAGTATGAATACAGTATAAAACGCGCGAAGTAAGTAAAATGTACAAAGGTGATAAGATATTAAGAGTGTATAAAACAGTAGATGTGTTAAGACTTTTATATGCAGTTAAAAATACCAACGGGACGTAAAAATGCAAAAAAGTTGGGATGGTGAATGCCATCCAACAAATCTTGCATGCATAAAATAGAACTTCCAAAAAACTTTAAACGATGTTGATTAAAACATGAACACGTTATTAAAATATGATGAATTGTGAGAGGTACGTTACAAGTACTGCATTCCAAAGAAGGCTCTCCAAACAGTAAATGGAGAATTGTTAACCGGGTGTGACCGATTCGAAGGCGGGTGAGCTTTACATCAGCACTGCGCAAGCGCAGCACTGGTAAACTGTTTAAATCAGATTTAATGTTACGCAATTTATTAAAAACTTTGAGGTCCCATTGTTGTTGCCATATTGATGTTACAAATTTTCAGATGTGTAGTTTCACATCGGCGAAAGGTATGGACAGTGATAAGACAGATGTGGCAGATCGTGCAGCTGAGTCTGCTAGTTCATTCCCTGGAAAGAAAACATGACTTGGTACCCAGCAAAATAAAATCTCAAAGCCGTTCTTCTGAAGACTTATTAACAAATGAATAATGATACATAAAATTGGATGACTATCACAGTGAAACTTTTCTAGTTGGCTTAAAACGGTCATACTATCAGAGTATAGGCAATACTTCCGAGTAGAGTGTGAGGAAATTAGTCGTAGTGCCATAAGGATTGATTGAATGTAAGTTTTAATGGCGCAAGGTCCACAGAGGACATGCTGAGCCAGACACACGGTTTTAAAAACATATTAAAAGGTAGAATAGAGTACAATTACACAATCAATAAGTATAGTAAAAATGATGAGAATTCTAAAACAGTGTAAATGCAAGTATTTTTAAATGCGGATAAAGCTTGATAAAATGGTTAGCATGATAAATCTCTTATATACTGTTTAAAATACCAATAGTGCGAAGAAAAGCAAAGATGTTAGGATGATGGTTTTCATCTAACAAGTCTTTTATGCATAAAATGGAGCTACCAAAAAAGGTGAGGCGAAGCTGGTTAAAACATGGACAAAGTATTAAAATGTGATGAATCGTGAGTAAAACGTTGCAATCGTTGCATTTGTGAGGAGGTTCTCCAAATAGCAAATGAAGGTGAGTAAGTCGAGTATGTCCTACTTGCAAGCGGGTGAGTTTGACATCTGCCCTGCGCATGTGCAGTGCAGGCCAAGGCTCCAAAGTAGGTTTAACAGAATTTAATTTGTTTTCGCCTTGCAGGTCCCAGTGTTGCTGCCATAAACACTGAACAAGTTTGCGAATGTGGTTTTTTAAATCAGAAAATGGAACAGATAATGTTATTGGAGAAGAGGCAGATCGTGCAGCAGAATCAGCTTTGTCATTTCCTTTAATACCTACATGACTGGGAATCCAGCAAAATAAAATTTTAAAACCCTTCTGTATAGAGAAGTCAATGTATGTTGAATAAAAATTAAAATTGGATGAGCTTCGTTTCTCACATGTTCTAACTGTCTTAAAACACTCAAATTATCCGAGTATATACAAAATTTTCTAGCCGAATGCGAAGAAATGAGTCTTAAAGCTTAAAGGATCGCAAATGCTTCCGCTGTAAAAACAGAGCAAAAATGCAGGAATGTCGTAGCTGTAAGTAATATCAGCCACAACAATCCCACAACCAACATGTCCAGGGAACTTAGATCCATCTGTAAAAACTGCTATGTATTGTATATACTGATGACGATGGAAAGTGAACAGCTGTTGAAAAATGCTAGGTGAGACATTAGACTTACTGTATGACACAAATGAACAATCAAGATAATATGATGAAATAGTCAATGGTGTGATGAGAAAATAATTTACAGATTGCGATGGTATATCACAAAAATCAAGTGTCTGAATGAGTGATCGCATGCGAGAGTTAAAAGGTGGTATATATGAGGGTCGTGCATCATATAATCGTTGCAAACTTAGTGGAGTAATCTCACGTCGAAGAGGGTTCGATGAAGATGACATGACGCGAGAGTAAAATGTCAAAGAGAGCTGCATGCGTCTGAAATCGAGAGAAGGTTGATGACACACAGCATACAAACTCTCAACAGGAGAAGAGCGAAACGCTCCACTACATATGCGTAACGCCGTATGATGCACCGTATCTAGACGTTTTAAGTTAGATGCAGATGC